GTCTAATTGAATTTCACTCAGCTGCGATGTGTCAATGGCTATCGCGGTGATGGGAGGCGCCGATTCACAAAATTTGCCGGTTTCATCGGCACCACCAGGTGCAGTAAACCCTCTGGTAAAACCTACCGGCACACCGCCAGCTCGCCGGTAACGCTCCCATTCTCCTACTGCTCGGTGCCACAGTACGTCACGATCGTCAAAATTACTCCGCGGCTTGTTTCGCCGTGAGTTGGAGACGAAGAAAAACTCGATACTTCCATTATTTTTTCGTGTAGAAGTTATTAAACCGAAAAGAAAACGAATGCCTCTTCGAGTTTCAGTGAACATTGAAGGTGTATTGTAAGGGTTATTTGGCAAAGTAAAAAGGTAATTTCATGGTCCTTTTAAATAGCGCACCGCAGTCGAGAAGCTGTTCGCTGAAGACGACGGGGATGAAAGGTTTAAACCTCGACAACCAAGACGCACTACATTCGTTTCGAAGTGGGTTTTTGTCTCCCAGTGTTACCCCACACACCCTGAACATTCCGGCTCTTCATCGTGTAAGATCGTATCGCAGCTGTAGAAAATAGAGTCAAACACAACTGCGCAGATTGCCAAAGACACGCTGCAGTTGTCGGAGAATGATTCTTGACTTGTGACTGTGCTTCTGAGTTTATCCACTCCCTCTTTTCACCGTTAGACAACGTGCGATGGTTGAAAAAAAAACACTTTAACGTCTTCCGTTTATATCACAGGGACACTATCAGCCACACATTTGTGATACATGTGCATCTAAAGCGAGGAGGGTCAGACGTTCCGCGGATTTGAAACACTTGCGCGAAATTTGAAACCCGCTGTTGCCAGTGCTGTCAGGCACCCTATTGTCCAAAACAAAACCAATACAACAAAAAGAAACCCTCGCAGCGTAGTGGAAGGCAATCGGCGCCATGATAAAACTGAGCCGTTGCTAGCTGTTCTTCCCCAATTTTGACTTGAAAGTCACAAACGAAGATAGAAACATTGGTTTTAAGTATTTTGATGGCCGCCAGCATGGAGCGCCATAAACGTGGAGTAGCAAGCATTAAAAACGCCCCCCCCCCCCCCCTCCTTCGCAATTGGGATCGCTAGCGACGCTAGGGACAAGGCACTGCACGCCTGAAGGCTCGTCCACACAGCTGCGTCAACTGCGTTGCGCTGCGTTGTGTCGTGCACAGCAGCGCCTCCCAATTTTCTCGTTGTGAGGGTCCCCATTGCAAAAATTCGACGCAGGCAGTCTTAGAGCAGTCAAACGAAATCAAACGGAACTGCGTGATCGAGCCTTGAGCGCTCGATCACGCAGCACTTGCACGATCGCCTAGATATCACCACAAAGCGGCCGTTTATTTTATTTTTTTTACAGTGGAGCTGCTGAGGGCTAGGTTCCCCAGGATCGTGTCCGTGTATGTCGACACAAACCTACCTGGACAGCTACCGCCATCTATAAGCGACGGCGGCAAGCACACAACCAGTATGGTTTCCGCCGTCGCTCGTAGATGGCGGCAACCTTTCCAGCTATAATAGAAGAATTGATAGTTGGGCGAGCTGGTGGGAATTCATTGTAGGAAACAGCGCGAAAAACAGACAACGACGAAGAAGAAGCACACAGTGCATCGGGTACAGCTCCGCTGGTCTTCCTTGTACGAACTTGAGATTGGGCGAGTTGGTTGTTCATGTTTGTCGACGTTTAGCGCAATTAAAAAACTGTCACTTAAGCGTTCACACACCCGAAGAACACTCCTCTCACGCAGCGCTGTGTGAGAGGAGTGTTCTTTGGGTGTGTGAATGCTGGAGTAAAAGTTTTTCGAGTGTGCTAAACGTCGACAAACATGGTCTTCCTTCTTCACAAAAGTGGAGAAGCCCTTTTTTTTTAGCATATGGAATTTAAATTACTATTGAAGGCATAGCATATAATATACGGGTGTTTTCATTTAACGGATGCCCGATTTCTTCGATCGGAACCACACTGGTTACTATCGAAGAAACCCTGTATTTCAAGAAAATGCACCAGTCTCCTATTGATCATCCGCTCAAATATTTTGCCAAGACTGCTTCTAAGTGCAATAGGGCGGTAGCTGGATGGAACTGACGAGTCTTTACCATGCTTCAACAATGGGATACCATGAACCTGCTTCCAGGCTTGGGGAAACTACGCCAGCGTCCACAGATGATTAAAAAACCAATGCAAAGTTTTTAGAGATTTTGGGGCCAGCTCAGAAATCATCTCGTAATTAATCCTGTCAGGGCGAGGGGCCGACTGTTTCTTAAGACTAAGAGCCAACTTAAGTTTGCGCGTTGTGAAAGGTTTGTTGTATCCTGCAGTATTTCCTCCAGATATACTAACGCGATGGCATTCTGCGCGAGCCTTGAATTGTCTAAATTCTGCCCTGTAATTATCGGAGCTAGAAACATTGTGGAACTGCTCTCCGGGGACATTAGCCACATCTCTGAGCGAGATTGTAGGAGAGTGGAAAAGAGGAATCACAAAAGCGTGATAATCACCCTTGATTTTGTGGTATCGATACCACACTTCCTTGGGCGAAACAAAACTGCTGACTGAAGAGGCATATTTCATCCAAGTTCCTCGTTTAGCTCGTTTCCTCGTCCATTGAGCTTTTGCTTTTCTCCTTTTAAACTCTATTCTATTGAGAGGAGTACGGCACGGTCTTAACGTATCCCAGGCTTTATGCTGTCTTTTTTTTTTTTTTTTTGCAGATGCACAGTCTTTGTTCCACCATGGCTTACACCTCTTCGGCATGTTTTCAGAAGTCTGCGGAATAGCCTCAAAAGCCTCATTAAGAATATGTTCGGTGACATATAATGTGGCATCCTCTGGAGAGAAACTTGCTAGGCCCGAGCATCTAGCCTTGCCTTTAATATAAAAAGCCCCAAATCTGCCTTTTCTAACTTCCACCTAGGAACGCGCTTTAAAATGGTGGAAAGTGCGACGTTGCTTTTTAAAATGACCGGAAAGTGGTCGTTCCCAAAGGGGTTCTTTAAAACGTTCCAAGGAAATCAAGGAAACAATGAGGGTGATGAAATAGACAGGTCGATGGATGTGAAAGAGTTATAAGGTTCACCGTAAAATATTACTTCTTTGTTATTTAAAATACATAAACCTGAAAACAGTAAAAGACGCTATATGACATTGCCACGAGAATCAAGTCGGACACTGCCCTACATAGGATGTGAGCATTAAAATCGCCTAAATTAAGAAGCGTTTTGGCAGTTGATCAATAAGACCTTCGAGTTCATGATTATGAAGTGGAACATGTGGGGGAAGATATAACGACACAATGGTAATGAGACGGTCAACTAAAACACAGGTTGCCACGGCTTCAAGTGGTGTACGAAGAGTAACCTCAGCACATGCTACTCCTCTCCGTACAACCACAGCAACACCGCCAGAAGATTGGGCTGACAAACGATCTTTCCTAAAAACATGGTGACGACGTAAAATATCAGTGCGAGTGCTCTTTAGATGAGTTTCCTGCAAACAGACAGCAGTAGGCTGCAGCTCGTCCAGAAAATAATGGACGTCATCTATGTTTTGTAGCAGTTCCACTGCAGGTAACCAACATGACCCATTTGTTTGCTTGCTTAAGCTGTAGTTAAAATGTGGGGTTCATAGCTGTGACTAAGTGGACAAAGGTTAGCTTGGGTTGGTTGGGGCAGTGACACCTGGAGGTTTCTTCTTCTGATCCCCCTTTGCAGGGACAGATTTCGTGACTCCCTTGGCAAGTGGAGGTGGTTCTGTCGGATCGACAGATACCTCCATGGCCTCCTCCTCCCGCTGGGAGGTGGAAGCAGTGGGCCCTCACTGCTGTGAGAAGGAGTGGCGTCTAGCACCACTCGAGGCTACGGGCCAATACGATGAGGCATCGTCTTGGTACGTCAAAGTTTTGGTAGGGCTGCCGGGGTCTGTGAACCCACCGAGGCCTCGCTTGGAAGGGGGTGGCGGGTGGGCTGGTGGAGCACACAAAGTCTCGAAGGCTGTACTGAGTGCCCACCGATGCCTTGAAAGGCGGCGCTGCCCCCCTGGCAGCCGCCTCGCCATAGGTGCTTCCTCGGAGCAAGGAAAATCGTTCCCTTGCCTAAGGCTATCTAACATTCTCTTTTACCTTTAACGTCAAGATCTTCTTTTCTTCAGTAAAGTGAAGATATGGGCCAGTTGGTTCATTGCAAGCAAAAAAGCGCCGAAAAAATACAGGGACACAGGCGAAGGGAAACAGGACAAGGCGCACTCTCGACTGAAATTTATTGAAAATTCACACCTTATATAGCCTCAAAAACCCTGTTTACCCTATCCACTCAGCCCGCGTTTCAAAAATTCAAACTCATTTGTAGGTAAGGATAGGGACGTGTCACTTATACAATTCTTGTCCCTGGCCCTAATTTCAAACGCCTCGTGTAATTGCCGCGACACTTTTGTGGTATCAGTGTGATAACAGTGTAACAGTGTGACAATGACAAAGCTACACGTGGTGTGCTCTGGTTATCGGTGACGTCCGCAGGATTGTCTATAAAAGGGCTGACGAAATAAAACACGGGGCTTCTTTTTCCCAGACGTCCCGTGCGAATGGTTCATTCTTCGTTGCTTGCAATCGCACGCCGATAGTACGGCGGCGCGACATGGTATCAGAAGTGGGCGTATCATCAGTCCAGGTTCGCGAAAGCAAGCGTAAAAGACTATGGCGAACGAAACACCACCGGCACCTACGGGAACGTTTGGACTTCAACAGCCACCACAGCTGGACTTCGACAACACAACAGAGTGGGCGGCGTGGATAGAACATTTCGACGATTACCGCTTCGCCACAGGCATCAACGAAAGAACCGGTGAGGCACAAGTCCGCACGCTATTGTACACAATGGGCCGGCAAGCAAGGGAAATTTTTGCCACGTTCGACCTTTCCGCAGAAGAGGCAAAGGACTTCGACCTCGTCAAGCGAAAGTTCGACGAGCACTTTGTCAAGGAACGAAACGTCGTGTATGAAAGTGCATGTTTTCACCGATGGCTACTGAAGCCAGGAGAGTCCGTGGACCAGTACGTTACGGCACTGCACGTCCTCGCAAACCGCTGCGAATTCGGTGAGATGAAACAACGCATGATCCGGGACCGGTTTGTCGTGGGGCTCCATGACGACAAGCTTTCCGAAAACCTGCAAATGGACGCCAAGCTGACCTTGTCATCGGCGTTAGCCAAGGCACGCCTCAAGGAAGTGGTGCACCAGCAGCAGCGAGAACTTCGTTCACGAGAGCCCGGTCAACAGGCCTGTTCTTCGACGAAAGAGGACCTGAACGTAGACGCCTTGAGCCGACGCCGGGATGCACCTCGAAGAAATGTCTACGGGTCGGAAACATCACATCAGGACAAGCAGTGTTCATTCTGTGGAGGCGACCAGCATCCAAGGTCGGTGTGTCCTGCAAGGGCACAGAAGTGCTTCAATTGCCACACCAAGGGACATTTCAGCCGGGCCTGCAGGAAGGAGTCGGCGTCGTCTGCGGATGACACTCCAAGTGTCATCCGTACAACAAGAGACTGGCGAACTTTTTCTGGGGGCGATAAATGTTCCGGACGCGAAAGCGCGGTATGTCCATATAACCTTGAACTCTGTACCAGTGTTTGCTAAAGTTGATTCAGGAGCAGAAGCCACTCTTGTACCGTCTACGTTTCCAGGCATTCCGTTTAGGCTGGAAACAGCAAGCGAAGTACTGACTGGTGCAGGAGAAAATCGCCTTACGGTACTTGGAAAGTTCAAAGCTAAGTTAATCTGGAAGGACAAAGTGTCGATGCAAACTGTCTATGTCGTGAGTCCGCTTCGCCAGGCACTTCTAGGGTTACCAGCCATAGAGGCTTTGGGAGTTGTAAATTTCATCGATGGTGTGTCTCTTGATAAACAAAATTATGATGCTCTGTACCCGCAGGTGTTCAATGGTCTTGGAACCATTCCGGGAGAATACAACATCCGATTGAATTTGGATGCGGTCCCGTACGCTATACACGCGCCCCGACGAGTCCCGATTCCTATGCGTGAGGCGGTAAAGCAAGAAATTGAAAAAATGGAAGGGATGGGAGTCATCCGGAGGGTCGATGGTCCTACAGACTGGTGCGCCAGGATCGTTCCGGTCTTAAAACCGTCCGGAGACGTACGCGTGTGTGTTGACCTCACACAATTAAACAAAAATGTCCAGAGGGAGCGATACGTGCTCCCAACGGTAGACCAGGCATTGGGACTGCTCGCGGACGCGACGTATTTCTCGAAGTTAGATGCTAATTCGGGATTTCACCAGGTAAAACTAGCAAGGTCATCCCAGAAACTAACGACGTTCATAACGCCCTTTGGAAGGTTTTGTTTCACTAGACTGCCCTTCGGCATTACGTCAGCACCTGAATACTTCCAAAAAAGAATGTCGGAGATTCTAGATGGCCTCCCTGGCGTAGTTAACATGATGGATGATATCCTGGTGTTTGGTTCGGACACAGCACAACACGATGAGCGCGTGAAAAAAGTCATGGACAGACTCGCAGAGTGAAACATGACACTAAACGGGGCAAAGTGTGTGTTCGGTGTAAAAGAAGTTAGCTTTCTAGGTCATCTTCTGAGCGCAGATGGCATAAGGCCTGACCCCAAAAAGCTGCAAGCGGTCAAAGATATGAAATCGCCGACAAACGTGTCGGAAGTACGAAGCATTCTAGGTATGGCCAATCACTTGGGCCGTTTTCTGCCTAATCTCGCTCAGAAAACTGCACCGTTGCGAGAACTGCTAAAAAAAACACGGAATGGGCTTGGGGCCTTGCTCAGGAAAGTGCTTGGAACGATCTAAAAAGCATGATTTGTTCTTCCGAGTGTATGGCTAAGTATGACCCAACCCATCCGACAATCCTTTCGGCAGACGCGTCGTCATTTGGGCTTGGAGCCGTTCTTTTACAAGAGCAGCAAGGGGTACGACGGCCTATCGCTTTTGCTTCGCGGTCTTTGACCAAAGCTCAGATTCGCTATGCGCAGATTGAGAAAGAGGCGTTGGCACTGACATGGGCTGCCGAAATGTTTGACGAGTACCTGAGGGGCTTAGACACGACGTTCGAGACCGACCATAAGCCTCTAGTTACGTTGCTGGGACAAAGTCCGATAGATGTGTTGCCGCCTCGAGTTCAGAGGGTTAGAATGAGGCTAATGCGCTATAGGTTTAAGGTTGTGTTTGTACCGGGCAAGTGCATTGCAACCGCCGATGTTTTGTCGCGGGCACCTCTCAATCAAATGCCAATGGAAAGCGAACGTCTTACAATTCAAGAGGTGTTCAAGTTCTCTCAAGGATGTTTAATGGGTCTTGAGACAGGAGACAATGTGTTGTCACGTGTAAAAACAAGTCAAACTACAGACGAAGTGTGTAAAACGCTGGCTCAGCTGTCTCGTAAAGGCTGGCCTAAAAAAACGTCCGTTCAGTGCTCCGTTCGGCAGTACTGGCAAGAGAGGGCTGGCATAACTCTGTGTGATGGCTTTTTGTTAAAAGGTACAACATTAGTTGTTCCCCAGGCACTTCGTGAGGAAGTGTTATCTCGCCTGCACGATGGGCACCAAGGAATCAGCAGATGTCGAGCTCTCGCACAAGAGTCTGTTTGGTGGCCTGGCCTAAGCAAGCAACTGGCAGTGATGATAACAAACTGCAATGTGTGTACCGAGTTCAGTTTTCAGAAGGCTGAACCGATGATGCCGACCATGACTCCACGTTTTCCATGGGAAAGAGTAGGGGTCGATTTGTGCAAAATAAGGAACTCTATCTTGTGGTTGAAGACTATTTATCAAGGTACCCGGAAATCTGTGTTCTCCCTTCGACAGGCGCAACCGTTGTTATAGAAAGGCTTAAAAGCATATTTGCTCGTCATGGGGTCCCAGAGACTGTGGTCTCCGACAATGGTCCACAGTTTGCATGTTGTAATTTTGAAGAGTTTGCGAATCTATACGGTTTCCAACACGTCACTTCAAGCTCGAGGCACCCTCAAGCCAACGGAGAAGCGGAAAGAATGGTGCAGACAATTAAGCGGCTGGTGCTCAAATCAGCCGACCCTTACTTAGCTCTCCTAGCCTATAGGGCCACCCCAGGGATTACCGGCAAAAGCCCGTCAGAAATCCTTATGGGTAGATGTCTACGGACACGTGTACCAATGCTTCCGCAGCTGCGCCTTCAAAGGAACGTTGACTTTAAAATGTTGGCGATAAAGGATCGTCAACTAAGAGAAAAGCAGCGCAAAAGCTTCGATAGGCGCCATCGGGCTAAGAAGCTTTCTGAATTGAAGGCGGGCAACAAAGTGTGCGTTTCTGACAGTAAGGCGAGGGCAACGGTCTTGGCCCAAACAGAAAAACCAAGGTCTTACTTGGTTGAGACCAAGCCAGGGGTGAAGTTAAGGCGAAACCGCAGAAACTTAAAGGTACTGCTACCGGAGGCAGAGGACGATGAAGGCTACGATATACCCGACAGTGAGAGTGACGTAAGGGTCCAAGATTCGGAAGCTAGAAGCGATATAAGTTGCGATCCTTCTCCAGTGACTACGAGAACACTGACGACCGTCGTAACCACAAGATCAGGTAGAGTAGTTAAGAAACCGATCAGACTGGGGATTGATGATTAAGCGGTATCCTGAAGAGTGTTTCAGTTTTAACGTATTTTCTTTGTTTGCTAACATGTTATTATTTTTCTCCAAAGAAAGGGAGGTGTGGTATCAGTGTGATAACAGTGTAACAGTGTGACAATGACAAAGCTACACGTGGTGTGCTCTGGTTATCGGTGACGTCCGCAGGATTGTCTATAAAATGGCTGACGAAATAAAACACGGGTTTCTTTTTCCCAGACGTCCCGTGCGAATGGTTCATTCTTCGTTGCTCGCAATCGCACGCCGATAGTACGGCGGCGCGACAACTTTATCTTTGTACCTAGCCAAAATCTTAGTGTCATTGAAGGCTGGGGTGCACGAGCATCTATTGCAATGAATTGCAAGGTGCCCCGAAGGCGCCGTTCTTGCAGAGGCAGCGTGCTCTTCGGTGCGATCATTAACGCACCTGACCGTCTGGCCCACGTATGTCATCCCACACGTCATGGGGATTTCATAGACGACGCCAGTGGCGCATTCGACGTACATTATGCGATGGTTACTAGGGCACGAATCTGAAGATGGCTGTGGAGAATTAATCTGGCGACAAAGTCGCGCCATCTTATTGGGCGCTGAAAAAACTACCGGTACATTGTAGCGCTGGGCTGCCCTTTTTAGATTGTGCGTGACATTGTGCATATATGGAATGACAACAGGCCTCGTGGTCGGTCTATCGCTGTTTAATTTCTGATTACCTTTAATATTTTTGATTAAGCTTTCTGCCACTTCGACCAGAGCTCTCAACGGAAAACCAGCCCTGTGCAGGCGTTCTATCTGACCCTCGAAGCTGCCTTGCGCACTGTGCAAACATGACTTTCTGAGGGAAGCCCCCAGGCACGAACTAGCTATGCCCCTTTTCACAACCTTCGAGTGGGCGGAATCAAATTAAAGGTTGCCCTTTCTTAGTTCGAGGCGCGTACTTCCAGCAAACATGGTCCCCCCAAAACGATAGCTCGAGGTCCAAGTATTGCAGTTTACTTTCTTTTTGTAACTCATGCGTGAATGTCAACCCCGAGCAACACAATTTAAACACGTCTAGCAACTGAGAGACTTCTTTTCTCCTTGAAATTTCGGACAGGCTCGAGAGTAGGTTGGACGGGCACCGGAGCAGTTGACACACTTGAGAAGTGTACCCTCGCATGTGTCAGCTGGATGGTCTGTAGCTCCGCACTTTGCGCACGTCGTTTTTCCGGTACACGTGACCGAGCTGTTACCAAATTTTTGGCACTTAAAGCATAGTCTCGGGTTAGGTATATAAGAGCGCACCTTACAGTAAAGATAGCCTGCTTTGATAGTCTTGGGCAGTACAGGGAAGCAAAAGTGAGAACTAGATGCTTTGAGGTCTCTCCTGTCCATCCCTGCGTATAGAGATTCGTCGCACGCCGACTACCCCCCGCCCAGAAAGGTTCCCCAAGATCTCGTCCTCGCTAGATTCTAGCAGGTCATCCTCCGAGATTACTCCCAGACAACTGTTCAAGGTGCGATGTGGGGTGACGGATACTTTATAGTCAGATATCTTGTTTAGATCGAAAAAGACCACACTCTGTACTCCATTTCCCACTTCAACGAGCAGGTCACCGGATGATAGTTTTTTTAGAGCGCAGCTCTTAGGGGCCCGTTTCCCGCTTGAGCGGCGTCGCCGTCGGCGTCGGCGTCGGCGTCGGCGTAACCGCGCGGTGCATCATGGGAAATGTCCCATAATGCACCGCGCGAGCCCCCCACCGGGGTCACGTGACCTCGTGGGGGGGCACGTGACCCCCTGTGATGAGGTGGACTATAGAAGCGAGAAGAGAGGAAGACGAAGTGGGGCCGGGCAGTGTGGTGCGCGTG